ATGCTTAAGAACAATCGTTCAAGTCCCTGTTGTCAGTGTGATCCCATACAGACCAAGGCTCAAGACAGCATCCTTTGCTAGTGAAGCTAAACTACTGTTCAGTTTTGAGGACCAGGAGATAGTTTTTTTGGTTTCAGGTTTAAAGATGATCTTAGTGCAATAGTTTCGGAGTTTTGAGCAGCCTCCATGGCTCCAGAAAGGCTGGGTCCCTGAGAGTTTGACACGCTGCTCTGTATGTTCTCCCTGTGCTTAGGGTCCTTCTGTAGACTCTCTGATCAAGACGTTCAGCAATGGTGGCCAGCACTCCCCGGTTCTGGTCTCAGGGCAAAGTTCACAGAAGCCAGTAGTCTTGCCTTCCATTCTATTTCCTACTCCCCCCTTTCTTCCTCGGCTGCTCCTGCAGAAGAGACACCGGTTTTCTACTTTGGCTGCTTGCTTGCAAGTTTGGTTTTTTAAAATCATTTTGGGGGCGGCTCGGACAAATCTTATCACAATCCATTCAGACATCCATTGTGTCAAGCACATGTGTACATTTGTCGCCACCATCATTCTCAAAACATTTGCTTTCTACTTGAGCCCTTGGCATCAGCTCATTTTCCCCCTCCCTCCTTGCTCCCCCCTCCCTCATGAAACCTTGATAATTTATAAATTAGTTGTAATGTCTTACACTGTCCGACATCTCCCTTCACCCACTTTTCTGTTGTGCGTCCCCTCGGGAGTGGGTTATTTGTAGATCCTTGTAATCGGTTCCCCCTTTCCACCCCACCCTCCCGCCACCCTCCTGGTATCGCCACTCTTACCACTGGCCTTAAAGGGATCATCTGTCCTGGATTCCCTGTGCCTGCAAACTTTTAAAACCCCAGGTACTATAAGCTAGGTCCCAAACAAGCTAGGAGGTAAAGGAGAAGCATGAAATACATTATGGGGCCAAATCTCTGGGATGTCCCAGGAAATCATGACCTTACACCGCCACACCAAGACATCAGATCCCGAGAGGTGTTTGTTTATACAGAAGCAGCCTCCTCCGCTCTTTGTTGTTGCTGTAAATATATCTAACACAAAACGTTTGCCACTTCAACTTGTTCATTTACTCTACAACCCCACTCTTAATCAACATGACTTACCTATCACCAGTCAGCCATAGCAATAAACCTGCCCCTCCCCCATCCCCTTGCTCTTAACTACTAATAACCTTTGATCTCTAAACATTTGCTTTTCCTTTTTATATGTTTGGACATGCAGTATGTGTCCCGTGACTGGTATATTTCACTCAGCTTAACGTCTCCGAGTTCCATCCCTTCTGTAGCTGGTATCAAGGTCCCCTTAAACGCTGTGGATTTACGTCTTTTGGGGTACACCTGCAGTGACACTGCGGGGTCATAAAGTCGGTCCACTCTTTCTCCACTATGCTGTCTCCCATAACGGGTGCACCGTTCTGCACGTTCATCAGCAGTCAATGAGGGTGTTTCAATTTTCCTACATAACTGCCAACAGTTATTTTCTTTGTGTTTTTAAAAAATCTTTGCCACCTTCCACCCACTGCAAGAGTAGAAATCCTAGAGGGAGTAAATGGTATCACAATGTGGTTTTGATTCGCATCTGATGGTTAATAATGTGGATCATCTTTTTGTTTTTGCATGTTCCCTTTGGTAAAGTATCTGACAGTCCTTTGTCCATTTTTCTATATATATGCGTGTATGTTTTATTGCATTTCAATGCAAATTTACACAACACATTAGGGTCCCATTTGACAATTTCTATACAAGTTGTCGTGTTGTTATAGTTTTTGTAATGTATAAATGTGCTCTTTCATTGCAGTCTGGTTGTTCCACTTCCAGTAATCTCGTTTCCTTGTCCCCTTATCTTCTCATCTTTGCTTTAGAGAAATTTTTTATTTCATAAAGGTTTTTTAACGAGATACGCTGGATAAACAAACTGGAGACGAAAATAACGAGACCGACAGTTCTGGGGGGACATGGGAGAGGGGGAGGTGGGGGTGTTAACAAACCCAGGGACAATGGAACAAGTGATCCAAAATCAGTGGCAAAGAGGGTGTAAGAGGCCTGATAGGGGGTGATCAAAGGCAATGTAATGGAGAGGAATTACTGAAACCCAAATGAAAGCTGAACATGATAGTGGGACAAGAGGAAAGTCAAAGGAAATAGAGGAAAGAAATAGGAGGCAAAGAGCATTTATAGAGGTCTAAATACTGGCATGTACATATGTGAATATATTTATATATGATGATGGGGAAATAGATCTATGTGCATATATTTACAGGTTTAGTATTAAGGTAGCAGATGGACATTGGGCCTCCACTCAAGTACTTACTCAATACAAGAGCACTTTGTTCTATTAAATTGGTATTCCATGATGCA